AAAAAAAAAAAAATATATATTTTTTTTTTTTTTCAGACAAAAGACCTGTGAGCTTATAGGCCTTTTTAAATATCAGTGTTTCATGCTGATTGTCTGAACTAAGCCACTAAAATGTTTGCTAATGCTGCAGGTTAGCGCTGCCATCTGTTGTCCAGCTGGGATGCAAATGAGACTCATTCTTACATCACTGTTTAATGCCTTTAGAAGCAAACTTTAAGATGAACACATCACTGACTCTGAACTTTCCTTCATCAATTCCAACAACATCAACAAGAACTACAGACTGAACAAAGTGACTTGAGATGATGAAAGACAACTGGTCTGAGGAAAGAGAGGACAGGATCAGTAAAGAGGAGATGATTAGGCGAGGCCTCGAGATGACACGGTGACGAGAAACGGGAAGGAAGATATTTGTGAGGAAGAGGGTGGAGATCAGGAAGTGAGGGAGTAATCAATAGTGTTGCGCCAATGCCATTTTTTGGCCCAGATACCGATACCCGATACCTGGCTGTGCAGTGTCGGCCGATACCGATACCATAATAATGTAAAATAATTGCCATACCTTTGTGAAGCAGGAAAAAATCTAATACAAAGTGAATCTAGTAGAACTTTTTATTGCCTACCAGGAGTAGGTGACAATAGTTGAATAAACTTTTGTCTCTCAAAATGGTATCGGTGCCCTATTTGTAGGTACTCGCCGATACCGATACCACCATTTTAGGGCAGTATCGGGGCCCCGTCCGATACTGGTATCGATATCGGTGCAACACTAGTAATCAACGTGAGAATATTCTAAGCATGAGGAGACAAAGACTATGGGAGGGTAGAGTCAGGATGGAATTAAAACAGGTCAGAGATTAGAGGATGATGGGTTTATTTTTGGGTAAGAAAGGAGAGGAATCACACGATTAGGATTGGGGGAGACCGAGGGAAGATTAACGGATGCCTTACTATAGACGCTAGTCTTACGGTCTATGGAGTCTGCAAATACTTCTCCGTAGATCATCCAGTATGGCATGTAGAAGATGTTCCGAGCAAGGCGCCATGTAGGTTCCTCATCCGGATGGAGGATCGCCTGCCGAGCTACACCGAAACTCATCAGCACCACCAGCATGATGACTACGAAGTACAACATGTCGATCATCTGTAGACATGCAGGAGACACGGGTCAACCAACTTTGACCGAGATTCAAAAGGACAAGTAGAAAATACAGATGTGACGTTTTCCTAGCAGATGGTTTATTCAAAACTGAGAGACATTATGCTTCTGTGTAAAAGACGTTTCCCTTCAAGAATCTAAACAATCTTGATCAACACATCCTCGGATGAACCGGGGATTTCTTAGACGTTGCCTTTGGCTGCTTGTTGACCGTATATTTTCTTTTCACTCCTATTAGAGCTTTGGTTTAACATAAATTTTCTAAGGGTTCGGTTCTGCTTGGTGGCTTCCTACCATCTTCCCGATCATCATGACGTAGGGGCCCAGGTACTTGTTGACTCCAAAGATGTCGAGGACTCGAATGTACCAGAATATGATGTCGACACAGTAGATGACTCGTCCATAGCCCATGGAGGGTTCGCTCTGGAGCCGCAGTAGAAGGCCCAGTATAAAGAGAGTGATGGCCACCAGATCAGTGATGTTCCAGTAATCCTCCAACCACACACTGATCTTCTGTTTTAGCTTTCCTGGCTCCGACATAAGGATCTAAAAGCAGAGAGAGGGTCAGGGTTCGAAAACCAAGATACACAAGAAAAGAGTCTAATAGAAAGCAGAATCTGGGTGACAAACCAGCAGGTGTTTAACAACTACCTGTCTGACTTTCTCCAGGCCCAAAGTGATGATGTAAGAGATGACAATCCACTCCTGCAAAGAAGGCCAGCGTTCCATCTTCACCAGGATGATGTAGTTATAAAGCATGAGATACACCAGGTATGAGATCTGAAACACAATATTCACTTCCTGATCAGTGAGAAGAAGGTCAGTCTGGCTGCTGCAGAAGCTTGCAAAGGTGTAAAATCTGTCAGAGACGAACCGCTGTTAAGCTCTACATCAGGAAGAGGCAAAACCGCTCCTGGAGCGCCACTATCCTGCAGGTTTACGTAGTGTTGCACCGATACCAAGAACATTTTTTCCGTAAATTCAGTTAATTTTAGTTTGTTTGAGAACACTTATTTACGGTCTCAGTTAGTCTTACTTTAAAGATTACACAAAACTTAGACTTTTAGTTCTAGTTTTTGTTATTTTTTGGTTTTCATAAGCCAGACTAACCTTGATTCAGACATTTAAACTTCAGAGTAGATTTTCTCTTTAAAGTAGGAAAGTTAACTTGCCGTGTTGAACCAGAACTTGGTGAAGGGGGCGTTGTAAAACTCATAAATTTTCCTCCCAATGGGAATCCTCAGGTGTCCCTTCTGGTTCTCCTCTTCATCTCCTTTCTTGGACACAGTGTCCATGTTGGAGGCAGCGTCCTGAAACCAGGGTGTGGTGAATCAAACTGCTTTGCTCTCGTTACGTCTTTTACACTGTTTGTTTTGTACCTTGTTAAATTTGTCCTCGTCTTTAGTGCTCCCAGCCATGTTTTCTCTTGATGAATGGTGAAAAGCTTCATCTCCAAGTCTGAATTCCAAGAGCAGGATGGTGGGTGGGAAAATAATTCCCAAAATCACCTAAGAACCAGTTAAGAAAGACAGAGAGTTCAACAGAAAAAGGTCCTAATAAAGCCATAGTATAAAGGTGCTATCAGGGTCACTCAGGGAGTCGGACTCTTTTTGTTAAGGATTTAAAATAAGGAAGCCAATATTTTTTTTCTTTACGATGCAACCAATTGACTTCCATATGTCTGATAATGCTTTTGCTCTTTGTTTTTCTTTGTTTTTCCAACCTTCAGACTGTTGCTCTTGCCCATCCTCAGGCATCCCATCCACATGTCAGTCAGCAGCATCTGACTGCAGGTGTGAGCGATGAAGTCTCTGTGCTTGGCAGCTACAGCAAGCTTCAGGCAGGTGGAGTTACTCCAGTTCTTGAGTTCATAGGTCAGCATTTTCATTGCCAGCTGCTCATCGTGTTTGTATGACTGGTCCAGCAGTTCGTAGGCCAGCTGGCCAAACTCCCTACAAAGAAACACAGAAGCACTTTTTCCAGGTTACAGACTTCAGCCAAATTAAGGAGGCGCGAGCCGAGATGTGGCTACAGAGACCATCCAGATGTCTTCATCTAGTAAAATCAACCTTAAAGCATTTTTGATCTTGCGTTCAGATTGATATGCTAAGCAAGAGCTTAGTATATCGATAGTTTTGTTGGATTATCGGCCTTCTTTTGAGAAAGTTTTACTAAAAAATAAGTGCAATAATCAGCTAATTGATACGGCCAGTGGCCTTTTTGATTTTTTTTCTCTTTTCTTATATCGCTTCTTAAAGGCGTAGTGGCTGTTTCCTGCCAGCAGGGTCTGCCGGGTGACCATGACGCAATACTTCCCTGTTGTTAGTTCCTGCATTTCCTTCCACATCACTTCCTCTTCCAGTTCTCCTCTGTTTGGACACACAGCTAATGGCCGCTCTTTGAGGAAGCCTCCTTTTTTAAACCAGGGGCCTTTTCCAATCATTGGCTACCAACTCGCCACACTCTCTTCTCGCTCCGTTTGGACGTATACCTGCAGAGGGTCAGCCATATTAAGTCCCGAGAACGAGTGCCAGTGGCTTATTAGGCCCTCCACAGCGAGTGAGGATCCTTTTCCCTTTCAAGCAGCACATGCAGCACCAAATACTGGCTGGTATGCAAGACGGGACGTAACTTCCTCGTTTGTATTTCCCAGACTCACTGAGTAAAGAAACGCCTAATTAACAAATATTATTTCACATAGGCTGTAAAAATCATTCTGTGGAAGGGTTAAGGCCTGGTTATCCTCCCCCAGCAGCGTGTCGCAGATGTTTTTGATTTCTGTCCAATATTGAAGCGTGGTCTGCGCTGTTATTCCACCCCACAACGCCAGAGGGCCAATCAGGAACCAGCTGTGGGTCTAGATACGGCCGAGGCGGTGAGGAAGTCGGAGCAAGTTTGTGCGACAACGGAGGGACATGAGGGCCAAAAAAAGCGGGGATCCAGGTGGAAAAAGGGTCCCAGCGTTCTCGCGCACCTCGCTCTGCTAGCTGCTCCATCTTGTCAAATGTCAATGTCAAATTTATTTATATAGCACTTTAAAAACAGGTATACAACTGCACCAAAGTGCTGTACAGGACAAACAATAGTACTAATTAATAAAAACAGATGATCAAAACACTTCAAGTAAATGCCAAAGAATAAAAATGAGTTTTAAGAAGCGATTTAAAATGATCCAGGCTGTGGGCAGATTTAATTTGAAAAGGTAAATTGTTCCATAGCATTGGCGCAACAACTGACAAAGCATG